TTGGTTGACAAAAAAGTAATAGAGTCCATTCTTCCAAAACCAGCTTATAGATTATTTGGGGTTTCCTAGACAACAGCACAGTGACAAAGAAACATGCCATAATGCTAGATTGGGTGCTGATTTCGACTGTCCTTGACTCTCCTTTAGATCCCATTAAAGTGGAATATGCTTGATCCTATTCCAAAATCTAATTAGGTAGTTTGCTAATCAGGCAGTTTTGCTAACTAGGTCTAGGCAATTGCTAGTATAACACTAAAAGAATCTTGATGATATTGTTGGTATGAATTTATAAAATAAAAAATTATTATTTAAACAATGAATGCACAATATTTATTGATGATCCGACTACTTAATCTTAATAGAAAATTGCATGTTTAAATTATCTTTACGTGTAAATTCACATTTGCAATTTAGAACTTATACTCATTCATACATAGTTTTAAAAGGAAATATCTATTATCTAGGTCACCTAAACACTTGCTTTATGTCATAATAGAAAGAGTTTACGTGTTCCAAGAGAAAACACGTTCACATGTCGTAATAGAACACTCTTAAATCAACTATTAAAGGACTGTCATGAAACATGAGGTTTTGTGTTCTTTTCATCCATAATCTACTGGGAGCAGGGCATAGCATTGCTATAATGGATCATAGAGTGATCATTGCACTTGTGTTTCTTAAGCTTTTGTGCTTTGGCGTGGTTTATAGCGCTGATTGCTATGGGGGTTCCATGCCAAACGGGCTTACAGTATCTAATTACCAAGGAGCTGCCAATCTTTTTTGTGGGGCTGATATAGCCAACAATGGGAAAACATACAGCTTTGGGTTTGACTCATCTGGAAGGAGAAAAAGTGTTACCCTGACTTTCAGAGGGAATGCCAAAGCAAAATATTGCACGGTAATGGATGCAAGGTTTGAACAATGGTGAAGTTTACTAATTACTTGGTAATTCTGAATGTTTAGACTGCGTATAACAATATCATCAGCCAATGCATGCAAGCCACATGTGGGCGGAATGCCTGTCCACAAAAGGCAGGTAAATGGGATTGGTCGTTAAATGGCGAAGAAGCCCACTACACTATTGATGGCACTGTTGCTTGATCTGTCAAATCTAAAATAAAAAATAATATAAAATGATATAATAAGGAATCAACAAGAAAAATGTGCACCTTTTGAATCATAAAATAAATATTTCCAGTTGTGATAGATTATGACATGAAAAGATCACGGCATTGGCAGGACAATTTCTAGTTTATGTCCCCATATGCAAATATATAACAGCGTATTTCATGCTGTACATGGCATCAGATATCTCATCCATGAACAAAAATCGATCAAAAATCGATCATCCCCCACGAACTTCAATCACGTCTCCATCCCTGAGCTCCACCAGCGGCAGTGCGAGCTGCCCGTTCACGTACATGATCTTGTTGTCGATGCCCATGCGCTGGGCTGCGTCCGAGACTGTGCTCCCGGTAGGCATTCGAACGATATCACCGTTTGGCCACGAGATCACCAAGACCTCCGTGAGAACAGCCGAGCTCGGATCATCCGGATGCCGTGCCGCCTCAAAGTGGACCTCTTTTTCCCACTGGAGCATCGATCTCAGCAGCTTCACCTGTGTTTTCGCAAACTTTCCTTGTGATGGAACGCAAAAGCATTTCGCTTCCTTACCTTGTTGTTAAGTCGCGTTGTCGCCGATCCCGAGCTTAAGTTCTGGCTTGACATCGATGTCCCAGCCTGGGTTTGGAGCTCTATCTCGATTCCTTCATCCACCATGGTCATCACTTCCATGTACTCTTTAAGTTCGCGAGCATCCAATTCTAGCAGCTGGAGAAATGTTGGCAATGGACGGTGAAATTGATCCTTCTGTTCGTCAGGCAGCCACAATTTTTTTTACTTGCCTGCCTTGAAACATAAAAGCAAGGAACCACGAACCTTGTGATAGATATGATCCCCGCATAAGACATATTTCTCGAGACAGGTATCCCAATCACCGTGTCCCGGAGCAAACCACCAGCTTTTGGCCACCTGATACTTTCCCGCTCCAGTTACGGAGAAACAAAACTGTGAACAAACCTTGCTGTACATGTACGCAAAAATCTTCCACCGATCCTTATCGTCGAATGAAGCTCCAGATACTATAGCTTCTCCAGAACTTACAGCCACCAGCAGCTCTTTCCCATCATGGTCTACTCTGCAAGTAACACAATTAAAACCGCGAGTAATTGGATTCAGGTTTCACCTTATGACAACAGCTGCTCGGAGACTTCCACCTTCGATTCTAAGAGCAGGGTATCTCAACTGGACTTGCTTGGAGGGTGTAGACGATGATGGTGTTAGATCCGTGTCCGAATCTCTGCCATTTGTCGGCAGATCCTGCGTCATAACTGGAGCTCCACTCTCTTTGTAAAGCCAATGAGCAGCATTTCCGCTCTCTGCTTGTTCATGCATCAGCTTGTATCAAAGACAAACTTTGTGTAAGTAAAAAGAATCTTAGTAAACTCTCCATACCTGAGTACGAATTTGCACCTCTAGGGGGGCACCGTCAGGTCCTCTCACAGCCGTGTGAAGAGACTAGAGGATAAAACAGCTATAGATTAATTCAACCTGAGACGCAGCATACCTGGTATCCACTTGGTTTTGGATTCAAAATATAGTCGTCAAACTCCCCACTAATAGGCATCCACAATCTACAGAGCGATGCTCGCGTTAAGTGGTCCTCAAAGTAAAAGAATTTGGCAAAGAAATAAATTACCTGTGGACAACGTCAAGAAGGCTGTAACACCCTTTGATGGCAGCCACATGGAGCTTTCCTCCACCGTCTCCAACGACAACTCTCAAAGCACGAGCATCATAAATTTGATCCAGATGAACACCTTTTCTCTTCATCTGCAAGCCTTGGTAAGAGTGTGTGACCGTAAAACAAGCGAGCTGTCACCTTGGAATGCGTGCTATACAGGCTCTTTAATCGACCAGATAGGGTTACTTCAGTTCCAGGGATGTATCTATAAGTTGCGGGATTAGTACGCTGAATGTAATACTTCGGATTGGTAAGAACCTTACGGTGTGGAAATCGCGACTTCTTTATCAAGTGCCTCTTCGCAAAGGGAGAGAGCCGCAAGCGCAACTTTAGTATCTTCGATCACCTTGCTTTTGGACAGAGACGGTGGCAAACCAAATTTTTGCTTTCCACGATTTTTACGACCTGAGAGCAAGTCAAATGGAATTACTGCATCCAGGAGATCCTGCACAAAAAAGGACCATAAGTCTAGTCAGTCAACAAGCTCTTTAGTAAAGAACCTTCATTGATAAATCTTCTATCTCTTCGTTGCTCTCGTCCTCGGTGGATTCCGTGCCATAAATCAAGGCTCTCCTTTTTTCCCTCTTTGTCATTTTCCTGTAGTGCCTGACCTCCTCGTCAACTGACCACATTGCAGCAAGTCCAGACCGTAGCTCTCGAAAAGTTTGCGGCTTTACAGAAACAAAACGTTAGAAATCTTTAAGGAAAACTTCAGGACCGCACCTCAAGTACAGCAAAACAAAGATCCTCAAGCTCCGCTTTGACGGTCCAGACTCCAAGTCTGGAAGCGAGTGAGCACCAAACAGCTAGTGTCTCTTGTGCTACAGCACGCGCCTTTGGAGCAGGCAGAGCATATCTAAACCAACCATTAGCCGTTAAAACTCGCGTCGCACATAAATGATTTAGCTTACATTGTCCTCATGTTATGCAAGCGATCAGCAAGTTTCACGAGAACTACTCTGGGATCGTTAACCATTCCTAGCAACATAATGCGCAAGCTGTCCACCTGGAAATACAAAAAGCATGAACATCTCTGGACAGGCACACGCATTATTTCTTTACCTCCTCCGAAGTTAATCCATTCCCAAATTCTTCTCTTTCATGTGCGGTTTTTCTTCGATGTCTGCGCAGCAACTGCCTTAAAACACATGAGACTGTTTCTGAGCACTCGTCTACGGCCGTACCTGGTTTATGTAGCTCAGCCTAGAAACGCCTGCCACAAGGTCAGCCACATTATCACCAAAACTGGTCCGTAAGTCATGTAAGCTTCTCGTAGTATCGTCAACTACATCATGTAAAATTCCAGCAACAACGGTGTCAATTGCCTGAGAGACAATTGGTTTTAGCGCTTTGAAAAGGTGACAAGGACGCAAAAGAAAAAGAGCATTACCTTGGTTCCCACTTGTGGAACTAAAGCAGCTAAAATCTTAGCAGTATGAATGCAATGTGTTATATAAGGATCACCCGTCATCCGCATCTGTCCAGCATGAGCTTCTCGAGCGTAAGAAACTGCTCTCTGGACCTGGAGGAAACAAAGCATTTACGCGCACTTGATCGAAAACTACACGATTGTCGATCCATACCTTCTCATCTTGAAAAATGGGATAGTCACTAACATCAACTCCATCGAACACCAAGCTCGCTGCTGGCGATCAAGAACAATGTAAAGAAAAAGAAGAAGACGAGAGCGCGCCTTACTTCCATCGTCAACTTTCCCGTTTCGTGGATCACTGCTCGCCTGTGGAAGAATGCATGCTCCATACGCCACGGCCGCCGTGACCGCAACTTGAGCAAAGGTCATGAGCGCCACAGCATGAGCCGAGGCGGTCGGAGCCACAGTCCTGAAAGCAGTGCTCCCGGTGGCGAGCAGCTGCCCCACGGACGCCAGCGGCACCTGGCGGACGACATGATCCAGCAGCAAGCTGCTGCGACAAACCGGAAGGAGAAATCGCCGCCGCTTCCTCCTCACTGTCGATCGATTCTTGCCGCCGCCGCCGCCGCCGCCGTCGCAATGCGCCCACAGCGCCACATTCCCGCAGGCGCAATCCATGCCGCCAGCGGCAGCAGCAGCATCGCACAGCTCGCGCGCTTCGTTCTAGCCCTAAATCCTCGCGGAAGAACAGCGAGTGATACTACGCCACTCCGCCATGGCCACCACCGCAAGAGGACAAAGCGCTAGATACCCGAAACGTGGCTCTTTCCAAATTCTACACGTGTCACAATAATATCCTCTAGAATATTCCACACTTTGAAAATGTGAGTTGACCCCTTCAACACGGAGGGGGAAAGTTCTTTCCATCTCTTTCGATCGCCCAAAAAAAAATCTCTTCGCTACTTCGCGGCACTACCTACACGATCGCATCGTGTTAGTCGATCAAACAAAAATATAGAAGCAGCAGCTAGAAAACTCACGAGATTGCCTGGCGCCGCCCTTCCTTCTTCACCAAAACTCTGTCCCCCTCGCGAGCCACCGTGATCTTCTTATACACGAGCAAATCGTCCGAGTCCACGCTCAGAGCGCCGCTCGAGCTCAAGCTCCGCCCCTCCAGATTGTTTGCTGCTCCATCTCCATCACTCACTACCACGACTCTCATCTCGTAGTACGTATCCGTCCCAGCCATGTCCACCGGGACAAACTTGTCCGAGAAAGGAGCCACCGAAAGCCTGAGCCTGCCAAGCTGATCCCTGTATCGGTCCCGGAAAACCACCGTTGCCGGTGTCTGGTTGCAAATCCAAGTAACTCGCTGCAAATCCATGCTGCACGGCTGCGAGTCGGACGTCTTGATTCTGGAGAAGCATCCCAGCTTGAACATCTCCTCGCTCGAAGAACTGAGACCAACTGTATGGAGCTTATAAACTGCCGACCACCAGCAGTTTAGTCGCCCTGTTCGGCCCGCCAGAGCTACAATCGGGCGACTATTGAGCTCCGTGCCGTACTCGGACAAGTATCCATCGCCGGCCATTCTTTCTGTGAAACATCAAAATATAAGTCAAACACTTCCCTGGAACGCTGAAACACGAGCTAGCTTCATTACCAGACAGCCGAGTTGAAGTTGAAGATCTTGGTGAGCGCAAAGTCGTCGAAAGGGAAATAAAAAAAAAGTCTCGCTGGAAAAGCCTACATGTGGAGAGATCAACGAAGGTACACAGAAAGTAACAAGCTTAACTTGCTGCTGCACATGACTAAAGACAGTGGGCTCCTTCAATGCTGCCGCTTTTCACACCCAACTTGAACAAACCACCCTTGTCTGCAAACCAAAAACAAAAAGACACTTGCATCAAACCAGAGAGAAGACTTGGTAGAGAAAGCACACCTCACTCACAGGCTTAATCTAGGTAAGATGTTGCAGAGAGGACTCGTGCAATGCGCCTGAGCGGATAGGTGTGAGTGACAACGACGCTGCCTGCACCAACAACAGCGTATTAGTCAGAAAGAGGAAAAACAAGTGATGCTAAGAGTAAGATAAAGCCACTACCAAGAGCGCAACAAATGCAGCGCAGACGAAAGAGTTTTCGGCCTTACTCAAACCGCTATAGCGTCGCGACTTCTGAACGGAAAAATAGTTCGACGTATCATCAGTAGTACACTGGCGTTACACTTCCCCGTCAATTCGCGATAGTTTTCCTCGAGAAAGACGTTCTCGCTCCCCTATGAAACAATCAGACACCACCACCATCAGTAAAAATTCCATACAGCACTACTGGCGAGCCATCCTCCAACAAAAACACACCAAACATCTCCCTCCCTATGAGAGGGAAGTAACAACCAAAGCAGAAAAAAGAGAGGCAGAAAACAAAGAAATCACAAACTATTAGAACCTGTCCCTATCAAAAGCTCAGTAGCTTGCATTCATGCTGCACCTTCGGACCCGCTGCGCACCTTGTCTGCTTCATTTAACAATTGGAAAATGAAAAGCAGCTTGATGAAATATACAAACATTCATTACCTTCACAACGACAGCAAGGCGGTGCTCATCCATCAAGATTCAAAGCTTTTGAATTCTCTGCATCCAAACAAGTTTAAACCACAGATTCATTACCAGAGAGAAAAAGTAAGAGAAAACAAACAAAAAAAAGAGGATCATACCTTGTTGTCAAAGAATTATTACTTCCAGAAGATCTGCACAGATCATCAAACATTAACGAGCAACGGACTAAGAAACATAGAAAAATCTCGCCTATACACCAATCATTTCAAAGTAAACATTTGGTGATTGCTTTCGCCGTTTGGAAACAAAAAAAAGAGTTTCGTAGCAAGTGACATAGTTTAGTACTTCTTCCCAATCTAGAGGAGGTAGAACCTCTAGAGGCCAGGAAAAAAAGGCCACTGTACTGCTAAATTTCGGAGGCCCCTTGGGAAACACACACGGCTTACCCAAGCAGAGGACCTTCAACCCCACTCAAACTTATTGTCATGAATCGCCTTCGTCTCGATCTTATCTAGAAGGTCTGGGAAGAAGAGTGAAAAACAAAAGGAGAAAAGAAGATGAGAACTTAACAAGAGATTAACCTGAAGAAGCCGTGTCGAATGAATAAAGGGACCACCCTTCGTGTCCTCCTCCCGTCCCACTCCACAGTATTTACAAAACTTCGTGTGGAACTATTCGCTCTTCCAAGCGTAGAGAAGCAACGAAAAACCAGCCGCCGAGACGTGTGAAGCAGCAGTAGCAGCATCTTGGGCTGCTGCTCCTGTTCCCGGCTGGACTCGCAAGCTCGACGAGCAAGCCATGGCGTCTTTCATCCACGGCCTCTCGGACGAGACGCACGTCTGGAACATAAACACGGCATTCCCCAGCGAGGGATTGAAGAGCCAATTGTGCACGTCCCAAAACACCTCCACCGGCAAGCCGTCGACGAGGATGGTCTGGTTCCCCCTAAACTTCCACATAAGCTTCTTCACCTGGATCACCAGCTGCCTGTCCACCCTCACGTAAAGCCGCGGCTCCCGAGCTCCACTCGTGTGGCACTCGATCATAATGTCGTGAGTTTTTCCACTCTCGCCAAACTGCGCCTTGGTGGTGTAGTACCGCTTCCCAAAGACGTGCTCCCGCCGCGAGAGAAGCATAGCCTCGATCGTCGGTGGCCTCGCCTGCGTCTTCTTGTAAGCCTCCCTCACCATATCGCCCAGCAGCAATGCCACCTCTCCATCGGAAACAATGGCGAGGTAGAAACCATCTTGCGGTTCCGGCCCGCAGAGATACTTGGCTGAGGAGAGGTCCCAAAAGACCTCCACTTTCTGCCCATCCACCTCCATAGCCTTGGATCCCTGCTTCTTCCAGAAGAACCACGGCTTCATGTCTACCTTGCAAGTGTAGTGGCACGCTGGGTCGTCCACATTGACGCTCAATCCCTGCCCCATGAGATTCTTGCACCATGTCACCGTGATCAAGCGGCAGTGGCCCCAGAGCTTGGTCTGATAGACGCAAGTCACCAGATTTTGCGTCATCCGGGCGCCCATGGACATGTCCGCAACCTGGACGCCGTATTCGCCGAAGCAAGAGGGGAATCCATCCGGCATTCTCAGCATCGTCGCGGGAGCGCCGATAATCTTGGATGGATTCTGGCGATGTTCTTGCCGCAATGCCGCAGGAATCTTGGGGCTTGGATCCGAGATCTTGCTGTCAGCCAAAAGCAAGGCAGCTCCGCTTGTCGTGGAAAGAGCGCCGCTCCTCCTGTTCCTGTTCCCCGAAATTCCTCATCCGGGAAAGATTCCAGGCCGTCGCCGTCGCCGCCGCCGCACAGATCTTCTGTCGAGGCGCTGGAGCTCGAGGAATCAAGAACGCCAAAACCCTAGGCCTAGAATATGAGTGGCAAGCGATCGAAGTGACCTGGGAAGAATGGAGGCCTCCGCCAATGCGGCCGCGTCGCGATTCTTCCAGCGCCCGGCACGAATTCGCCACGCCCTAGCTAGAGCGCGCAAAAGCAATAAATCCTCGAGCTTTTGGGAGCTAGGAAGAGCTCGCCCAAGCACTGACTGGTATCCCCCATTTTACACGGATAACGGAACTAGGTAGAGAAAAAGCTCGCCTTTAGCCAAAAACGCTACCTAGCAATCGTGCGTTCGAATCCAGTCCACTCAAAGGCGCCAAAGCCACACCGTTGGATCCACACACCATTCAAACCTCGGCCGTTGGATTTGGGATTGGTCAAATAGTAGTTTTCTCACGACTTTAAAAAACGGGAAGGTGGAGGTATAAAGAATGTCTGATACCGCGGCATATTCTGCACCTTGCACGACTATACATCATGCTCTGCGCAAATGCGCCAAATTACCATTAGATTTCGTGATGGTGATGCCTTACATCACAAACCAAGCTAACCTAAAATAAATAGTTCCATGATCCATGATTGGTTTTGCCTCCGTCAACTTTCCTAGAAACAAGCATGGTTGATAAATTCCACGTCAACCTCCTCGACTTACGTAACAAATGGTCCAGGTTTGATACCTCGTGTCAATCTTTGGGGAAAAATTCTCCCGGCTTTTGGCATGTAAAAAAGGTGACAAATCTCTTCATATACACTGTCCCACACCATCTTGTCAAACACCAAACTTTGGATTTTTTGCTTGTTTCTCCACGCCACGAAACATGAGAGAGACAGGGAAGGCTGCAAATCTCTAGGAAATCATACTGTGCCTTGTTGATGCGTTAAGGTGGATTTCAAGTGATCGCAGCTGTTTACAACGATACATACCTTCTTTGTTAACATTTTCTTCGCTGGAGGTGGAGCCAAAGTCGAGATCCATCCATTGCAATGCGATTGTTAAAGAGCTTCTCTAAAATCTCCCAGATTGAGGCCGCGGACCTGACAATCGCGGCAATGTCACTCCTGACAAGTAGACCAGAAAGAAACAACAACAAACAAACCTGATCGTTTCCACCAGTGGACCAAGTTCGCAAATTGACATCATCGCTGCTTCCTCGCATAGCGCACGAAGGTCGCTCCTAGAATGCCAAGCCGCTTCCCACAGTTAGAAAGCAATATCTGGGGAAAAGAACAACGTTACAATCTGTGTCTTTCACGAGCTTTTCCAAGTCAGAGCCTGTCAAAACCGAAGGATTCAGCGAGAAAGAGAGGAAAGAAAAAAAAAAAAGCAGAACTTTCCCACTTGACATGGGCTGTCCTTTGAGAAGATTTTGTAGGAGTGACCTGCGGCCATCAGAGTCAGGTAGTGGACGCATATTCTCTTTCACCTGGAGAGGAAAAGCAAGAGGAGAACTTAAAAAAAGGATCACGCGTTGGACTCACGAGACGCCTCCGTACTGGATCATCTATTTCCACTGGCCTGTTAGTAGCACCTGTGACAAAAGAAATTCTCAGCTCAATGGCAATGAATATCGCGCGCTTTACCCATCACAAAAAACTTCGATCGTCCTTGATGGCTCAAAAATTTTCCGATTTGAGCCTGCGACCAGCATCATGTTCATTCGAACAAAATGCTGCCTATCTGGAAACGATTCGAACTCGAAGTTTCATGTGGGAAGCCCAACCCACTGCGTAGCAACTAAGCATAAGCTCCACAGACTGATGATAGAACAAATCTTACCCATTTTGAAGTGAACGACGAAGAAAGAATGCACTATAGGCCGCTCAGATGCCACTGCCTTGGCCAGCAAGCCTGTTAAAGTGGGCGTCAGGCAAAAAGCAACGCGGCTTTTGTTTAAAACCTGGAGCTGGTCTGCGAAAATCCCTGAAAAGATCACTCCTTTTTTGTAGGAAGAATAACCATCTCCATCAAAGCGTGCTTAAGTTTGCAAGTCCAGCTGCAAGAAGTAGCAATGTTCACGCAAGAAAAAAAAAAAGGACAAACACTAAGAAACATACCAATGATGGCCTGCCATAGACAATCTTACGTTTGATAGAAGTTGTCCGCCATTGGAACGACGATCACCACAGACGAGCTAGAAAGAACAGTTTGTGGCTGTAAAGTTCCAGGCTTCCAAAATCAAAAGAGAAATCACAAATACCGGTCGAACCTGAGTTGTGATCAAATTCTCCAGCCAGAGCTTCGCATCGCTCATATTTTTCTAGGGCTCATATCAGTAGCGATCTCTTTGCCACTGAATCCGGCCAGAACGGCATGCTCTCGAGCAATTCCATTGCGAAATCCCTGCGCCCCGACCTCGCAAGAACGCCGAGAATGCAGCAGTAGTGCCGGATCGACGCCTGGAGCCCGAAATCCAGCGCCATTGACAAGAACTGGCGCCGGCTCTCCTCGATCGACCGCGGCGATCCCAGCACCGCCAAGAACGTCCCCCTGTCCGGCGCAAACCCTAGCAAGACCATCGCGTGGAGGAGCTCGATCGCGTTGCCAAAAGTGGAGCTTGCCGCCACAATGTACGTGCTCCACGACACGTCATCACGCTCTGGCATCCAAGCGAATATCTTCGCAGCCTGTTCTAAACTCCCAACCTGGGAATATGCCACCATCAGCGCATTCCATGCCACAAGATTCCTCTCTGGCATGTTGTGAAAGGCTTCCCTGGTAGCATCAAGCTCCCAATTCTGGGCAAAAGATGCCACCATTGTGGACCAAGAAATGGTGTCCAGCCATGGAATATAATCAAACACTCTTTTTGCTTGACAAATATTCCCAGCTTTAGAATATGCCTGTAACATTGCAGTGGAGCATATTACATTGTTTCTAAGAGGTATTTTATCATATATACATTGTGCCTCTTCAATGTTGCCTTTGGAGGAAAATGCTTGCAAAATGGATGACATTGAAGACATAGTATATTCTGGCACTTGATTGCAAAGGTGTAGAGCTTCTTCTTTGAAATTATTGGAGATGAGTGCCACAATAATCATGGCCCATGAGTGAATATCCCTCTCCCTCATGCTTTTGAATATGATCCTTGCCTCATGCATCTGCCTGGCTTCGGCATATGCTCCAATCATTAAGCTCCAAACTTTCAAATCATGCTCTGGCATATTCTTAAAAATAGTTTTTGCTCCCTCCAAATTCCCAGCCCTGGCATATCCTTGCAACATTGCAGTGTATGTTATAATGTTTTTTATGGGAATGTCCTCGAATATGTTTTCTGCTTCAATCATATGCCCACATTGGGTATAAGCAGTGAGAAATGAGGTCCAAAGCACCACATCTGGATATTCAACCTTCAGAAACAAATCCATTGATTCCTCAAATTTGCCATTTTTCACTAAGCTCTGAAGCATTATTTCTAAACCATGCCCATCCCAAAGAGGCATTTGGTGAAAAACTTTCTTTGCTAGATCTAAGTGCTCACATTGACAATAAACTTGTAGCAAAGCATTCCAAGTTCCCAAAGTATGGCAAGGCATCTCCAGAAAAACACACTTTGCTGCTACCACGTCGCCCAGCTGAGAATATGCGCCAATAGCAGCATTGAAAGAAAGAATATTCACCTCTGGAAGCCGCTTAAACATTCTAACAGCTCCCTCTGGATACCCATTCTGGGAATATCCAGCTATGCATGTAGTCCACGACACTATGTTCGTCAATGGCATCTGGGCAAAAAGATTCCGGGCATCCTCCAACCATCTGCAGCATATATAACCTGCTAGCATAGAATTCCACGTAACCAAATTATGCCTAGGCATCTTACTATAGAGTTTCCAAGCTCGATCAAGATTCCCATTTGAGGCAAGTGCATCAAGCATAATATTCCAGGACACAATATTCCTCTCCGGCATAGAATCGAATATTCTTTTGACTGAAACAGAATCATTGCTTTGACTGTAAGCTGCAAGCATCACGTTGAACGACACTGTGTCTGGATGAGGAATTTTCTCAAACAAGGACTTGGCACTTTCAATATGCCCGTTTTGGGCATATGCTTGTACCATAAGATTCCAAGATACAACGTTCTTGTGGGCGATACCATCAAACAATCCCTCTGCCTTTTCTAGAAATCCATTTTCCCCAAATGCTTGTATCAAAGCATTGCACGAAACTAGACTCTTCTCCGGCATTCTTTCAAAGTAAGACACGGCGTCCTCCAAATGCCCAGCTTTGGCGAGCCCTGTGACGATCGAATTCCACGAAACTTGATTCGCATCGGGCATTTCCTCGAAGATCTTCTTTGCGGCGTCGAGATCCCCGCTCTGGACGAACAAGCTGATCATGTTGTTCCATAGAACAGGAGGTTTCTCTGGAGCCATGTCAAAGAGGCTCTTCGCTGCGTCGAAATGACCGTTCTGGGCATAGGCCGAGATCATGGTGCTCCAGGAGAATGCGTTTGGCGCCTCCATCTTGTCGAAGATCGAGCGCGCGGATTCCACACAGCCGCACTTGCCATACATGTCGATGAGAAGGTTGAGGAGGAACCTGTCAGATCGGAGCTGGCTCTGCGAGACCCAATCGTGAATTTGCCTTCCGGACAAGAGATCTCGATCAAACGCGCAGCCACGGATCACTTCCGCGAAATCCTGGACCCTGTGGAATTGATCCGCAGCGCCCGCGATCTGGATTGCATCCATCGAGCCAAGCTCTCACGCGTGCTTGAAGAGCTTCATGCTGAGCCAGTGGAAGTAGACAGCCACGATCAAGACCGGGATCGTCATGGGAACCAGGAAGAAATAGTACCTGGGATCATCAAGAAACCCCAGATCTCGTCAAGAAACGATGAAGCGAAGGACTTACCACTCTCCCCGGATGAAATCCAGAGGCTTTGGCCCCGAAGATGGCAAGAGCTGCGCCAAGAACGCGAAGTAGACGATGGCGCCAAAGGAGCAAACGCTGAGCGCTAGAAGAAGAGCTCCGCCTTTCCCGCGCATTGCTTCTGCCCTAAAAGTTTGAACTAACTCACCCAAGTTAGCGTTAACCTAACCTGGAATCCCTTTAAAACGATGCCTGGATCTTCGGATCCTTTTTTAATATATGAGGAGGAGGAAGCCCGTGTGTCTCGAGGGCTCTTGTCCACGCGCACACCCCAGCGCGCTTCTTGGAAGGTACGACTCAATCCATCTTGGCGCTCGCGCTCTCAGCGATCAATCTCCTGGAATCGATTCCAGTCCACGCCGCCATGAATCGATCTGGTCGGTAATCCGATTTCGCGAGATTTCGTGCTCAACTCACCCTGTTCTTGACAGCCGCGCAAGATTCTACCCGGAATGAGAGATCGATCGGCAAAGGTATGGGAATCTCTTCCAAGAAGCCTAATGTAGGAACCAGGGGCCTGTCCAGGTCGTCGGCGCAGAGCTGCCGCGGAGCAGCGGCGGATAGAACAGCAGCGATGGGGGCAATTCGACGAAGACAAGGACGAGGATGGAGCTACGGACTTGATCCTTGCGCCGGCGCCGAGGCGGCGTAGCAGGCGTCCCTCGCGGCGAGAGCTGCTACAGGATGAGCTCCAACTGGCGAGGGATGAGCTCGAGATGGAGGCGCTGCGCTTGCGATACGGCGGATCTCACGAGCTCGATATTGCTCTAGGTAAGTTGTCGCAATTCGCAAGGTACTTCTTTCCCTCTTCTTTGCTTGTTTGGTTTTTTCTTTTCTTTGTTTGAGTGCCTTCTTTGCTTCCATTGATCAAGGTGGTTTGCCTTCCTTCGTCTATTTCGTTTTCCCTTCCCACGGTTCTTCTATTTGTTTTGAGAAAACTTCTCACGCTTCTCCTTGTTGGTTTGTCTTCCTTCATCTTTTTTCCTTTTCTCGAGAGAACTTCTCACGGTTTGAAGTGCAGCCTTGTCTCTCTCGTTGAGTGATGAACCGACTTACGCTCACGCGGAGGCTACTGCGGTTTCACTGGATATGTCGTATGAGGCAAGTAACTTCCCTTCTTTCTTTTCGCGTAGTTTTCTCGAGCTTGGGACTCACTCGTCTTCCACAGAGCCTCGTAGAACTGGAGAGCGTGAAGTGCGTGGCTTCGCCAGCTCTGGTGGCTTCCCTTGACCGGACCGTCTTCTCAGATGGCGGCGGCGGCGGCTCCGCCGAGTAAGTCCCTCTGATCACTCTCACTCCTCTGACTTGGGCTTTCTTTGTGGCTTTTCTATCCAGCTCTTGCGTCATCTGCCAGAACGAATACGTTGGCGGGGACAATCTCTCCCGCCTACCTTGCAAGCACGACGTTCACGAAGCTTGCGGCTCCGAGTGGCTGCTCAACTATTCAAAGCTCTGCCCCGTCTGCAAGGCGGACGTGACCATGGAGCATTGATCTTTGTACAGTTCCAGGTAAAACTTCATACTCGATCGATCGAAACTAAGAGAACTTCTTCCTTTCTTGTCCCGCAGATAGCTACATTATTATTTCTCATTGATTCATCCAGCAACGATGAACAAGCTGTACATTCAACCTTGTAAAAAATGGTTCTTCTTTCTTGTATTTAACTTGTATGTCAAGGCAGCGTGTCTTATCGTGGAACATCGCTATAGCAGCCTATGCCCGAAATGGTCAGGTGGAGCTCGCAAAGGCGGTGTTTGACGAGAGCCCCCAGCGCGACGTGTCTTCGTGGAACACACTCGCGCAGGCCTATCTCCACCGCCAGGATTTCTCCTCCGCGAAAAGAGCCTTCGATGGAATGCCTTCTCACGACGTTGTGTCGCTCAACACGATGGTTTGTGGGTACGTTCGCGCTGGATTGGTCCAACACGGTGAGGATCTCTTCCGCTGGATGCCGCAGAGGAGCAGCGTCTCATGGAAGAGTTTGTGCCAAGCATATGCCCAAACTGGGCATCTAGAGAGAGCTAAGAACTTGTTTGAGAAAATGCCACATTTAGATCTTTTGTCATGCACAAGCCTCTTGAGTGTATTTGCCCAAACGTGTCAAATGGAACAAGCAAAACTTATTTTTGATGTGATGTGTTTTAGAGATGTTCTGTGCTGGGTTGCCATGCTTGCAGCATATGCCAAAGGTGGGTATATGCTGATTTCTGAAGTGTGTTTTGCTTTGATGCCTTGCTGGGACAATGTGGCGTTTACTGTTATGCTGGCGACATATTCCCGCTGTGGAAAGTTAACTAAAGCCTTGGATATCTTTCAGAAAATAGTCTCTCACGACGTTTATTCCTGGACTGCGCTGCTTTCGGCATATGCCATAAACGGGCATTTTGAGGAAGCGTATGGAATCTTCTCCTTTATGCCGTGCCGCGGGCCTGTTGCGTGGAACTCGATGATTTCTTCGTTCTCGCAAATGGGAAACTTGGAAGTGACGAAGTTTTTGTTTGAAGAGATGCCTCAGCTGGACATTGTGGCGTGGGCGTCGCTGGTCATGGCCTGTACCGAGGCACAACAAATGGGCTTGGCCCAAAACGTGTACGACCGGATGCCCCAGCACAATGCCGTGGTTTGTACCTCTCTTTTCCAGGCATATGCCCGCTATGGGCATCTCAAAGAAGCCGAGAAAATGTACCACGGAATGTTCTACAAAGATGCTCTCTCGAGTAGAGTCTTGTTGAGTGCCTACATACGGAACGAAGAACCGGTTCTAGCGAAAGAGTTCTTTGACAAGATGTGGAAGAGGGATCAGTTTTCGTGGAACATTTTGCTGTGCGGCTTTGTGCACTGTGGCTGGCTAGACAAGGCCGAGATTCTGCTGCACGAAAAGATGCCAATGTACGGCATTGTGCCGATGAATGCCATTCTAGCCGGATATTCCCAGCTTGGGAATCTAGAGAAAGTTAAGATGCTCTTTGATGCTCTTCCTTGTGGCAATGTTGTCTCGTGGTTTATTCTCATTGCTTGCCATGCCCACAAAGGGGAATCTCTCCAAACAAAGCTCGTGTTTGGAAAGATGCCGCAGCTGAACATGGTGGCTTGGAATGCCTTGGGATTCGTCTGTGGTTTGACGAAGCAGCTGGAAGCAGCACGAGAAGTTTTCCATTCGATGCCGGGTCGTGATTTTCTCTCGTGGGCGAATTTTCTTGCAGCATCACTATCGAGTGGAGATCTTCCATCGGCAAAGCGGGTCTTTGAAAAGATCCCGATGCTGGACATGGTTCTTTGGACGACTTTTGTTTTGGCTCATGCCCAAGCTGGGCATATTGGTGAAGCCAACACACTCTTTGCAAAGATGCCAGCCAGAGACTTGGTGGCTTGCAACGCCATGCTTGGAATCTATGCCCAGAATGGGTATTGCAGCGAGGCAACTGGCCTCCTCCAAGAGATGACCCTGGAAGGTTTGAGCGCCGATGGGACGAGCTTCACGAGCTTGCTCAGTGGATTTGGCCACTCGGGATTGCTCAGCGATGGATTGAGCTGCTTGGCGAGCATGGCTATTGACTTTGGTCTTGTTCCAGATCCCCAACACTACGGCAGTGTGATTGATCTCGTTGCCAGGAGTGGAGAGGTGAAAGATGCGAAGGGAATGCTGGCATGGTTTGGCCTTGCAAGCGATGTTGCCTGGAGGAGCTTGCTCGCTGCTTGCCGCATTCAGCTGGATGAAGAGAGCGCTCTGGCAGCTGCTAGCTCCCAAGAAGATCACAAGGAAAAGGCTCCCTATTCTTTGCTTGTAAACATTCTTGCAAGCTGATAGCTTAGTTTACACAAGTGATCGAGAACACAAGTGAGAAAGTGAGTGAAGAGGTGAAAATTAAGTGGTTTTATGCCTCTAGGTAGGTGTTGTAACACCCAAAAAAACACTGTAAAATCTCAAGCTATAAGTGCTACCTTAGATTTTTAGAATACCACAAAAACAAGTCCTTGATTTTGGTTGACCCTCCAGAGCCTTCACACAAGTTCTAGAAATTATGTGTGTCATATTGAGAGGAATTAGGATGCTCATAGGTGGAAAATGTACTGACACTTCCCCAAACTTCTGACTCAACTGACTGAAGGGCAGGGTCCATATCCCCACTTGCAAAATGTAGCTTTCCCCACCTCAGGCGCTCACAGGAATCTCTCCTCTCATTTACTGATTCCCAAATTATGTTGTGGCCATTGAGTGTGTTGATTTCTTTCTTTGCTTTCCCCTGCTTTTCCTTCCACCCACAGATCTATATAGAAATCCTTTCTCCTCTATCACTTGCTTGATCTGGAAAATAGATCTGATGCTCTGACCTTTCAAAGCTTCCCCCTGCTCCCCTCATGATCCCTGAATTGCAGACTGGATTGTGAACTGACACCATAGCAGAAACAGCACCAGTGCAATGAGCCCTCCAACCAAGAGTGAAGACTGTGAAATCCCTGGATTTGATGGGCTGAGCTTTGGGCCAGAGGGAGAGGGAGAGGAGGAGGAGGAGCTGAGGAAATGGAGGAGGAAGAGCAGGAGAACTGGGAGCAAAAAGAGTGGCTTGAGTGACATCTCTGATGATTTCTCCTCCTCCTCTTCCTCCTCTGCTCCCTCTAATGTAAGATACCATGGGATAATCAGGATTCCCAGCACCAGCACAAGAATGAGCAATGGAACCAGTGGGGATGGAGAGGAGGCATCTGCAGCTGTTGCCATTTTCGAAAATGGGAGAAAAGAAAATAGAGAAAAAAGATAAAAGGGAATGAAAAGAGGCAGCTGCTGTTGTAGGTAGATGGAATTGAAGCTGTTTGTATTTACTTTTGTATTTCTGGTCTGGTTCTTCCTTGTGGGGGTCCTTTGCAGCCCAGTAAAAATGCTTTAAAATTCTACACACTCACATGTAAGATGGTGTCAAGCTCTTGCTTGAGCCCGCCTGCATGTTTCCTTTGATTTGCTCTCCCTCCTGTAACTTTTTTCTTCTTTTTATCCTCCTTGATTTTGTTGGTAGAGTCTAAAAAGGAAGCAGAGCGCGTTTTCTCTTCCGTCCTACTCCATAAACATCAACGTCGTCTTGTCCCAAACAGATGCCTTTTTGGTGCATTTTCTTTTTTCTTTAGAGAAAAGAAGTCTTGTTTTTTCCTTTGATTTTAGTGACTACTTGATAGTGAATTTGCTAGAAGGGCCAGGGCTCCAGCTCTCTTTCCATCCAGCCTAGCGAGCACATTGGTTCCTTTGATTAGAGTTTTAGGAGCCGCTCCCAGTAAACATGTCCACTCCAAGGAATCTGGCTCGAATGGCATGTTCTCGATTAGATCTCTCGCAGCTTCATAAGAGGCTGCTCTTCCCACTAAATCGACCATGCAAGAGTAGTGCTGCTTCAAAGCCACAAATCCGTAGCTTTCAACCAGCATGAAAAAATTCTTCCTTCCATTTTCAAGATCTCCCAAGCGACTGCACGCAATAAGAACTGATACAAAACACGTCTGGTCGGTCACGTCCAAGATTTTCGCTTCCTCAAATAAAGCAAACGCTTCAAGGTAGTGGCGGTTTTGGGCATATGCAGCAAGCATCGTGTTCCAGGTAACAATGTCTTTCTCAGGCATTTTGTCGAAAAACGCTTTTGCAAGAGCTATATCCCCAGATTGGGCATATGCAGCAAGCATGGCATTCCATGTTACTACAGTTTTCTCACCGCACATAGTGTGGAACATCCCAAAGGCAGTTTGTAGGTCTTCACAGGCTAGAATCTCATTGAAAGAAATAGAATCTTGCTGTGGCATGGAGTTGAATACAACCTTGGCTTGCTCGATATGCCCAGTTTGAACATATCCACAAAGCATAGAATTCCAAGAAGATAACCCTCTATGCGGCATTTGCTCAAACATTGCCTTAGCGTCTTCAATGCGATTGTTCATTGCATAGGCACTCAACATTGCATTCCAAGACACGATATCATGAACTGCCATTGAATCGAACAAGAGTTTTGCCGATTCAAGCTGACCTGTTCTTGAGTAGCCTGTGATCATAGTCGTCCAGGCTACAAGGTCTGTCTCTGGAATTTGGTCAAAAATGCTCTTTGCTTCCTCCATCTCTCCTTCTTGGGCATATGCTCCTATCATGGTAGTCCAAACACAAAGGTCCTTAGTGGGCATAGCATCAAATATGATTCTAGCATTTTGAAAGTCACCTTTCTTAGAATAAGCCCATATAATGATTGCCCATGAAACTAAATTCCATTGTGGCATTGTATCAAAGATATTGGAGGTTTTCTCAAAGTTTTTCCCTTGTGAGAAGGCCATTAGCATTGCATTGTAAGAGCTCAAGTCCTTCTCTACCATTCTAAGAAACAAAAACTCACATTCTAGATAATACCCATGCCGGGCATATGCTAAGAGCATTGTATTTGCAGATAAAAGGTCCCACTCTGGCATTGTGTTAAAAATGTGGCTTGCATAATCAAAATCATTTGCTTGATTATAGCATGACAGCAAACACGTCCACGAAACTAAGTCATATTGAGGCATATCCTCAAATAAACGACGAGCTTCATCAATATATCCCATTTGGGCATATGCTTTCAACAAGGTGGTATAAGACGTCATATCCTTCCAATGTAAATCCTCAAAAATCTTCTTGGCCTCGTCAAAATTTTCAGAAGCATAGAAGGCAAGCATGGCATTCCATGAGATAATAGAATGCTCTGGTAGTTCACAGAGCATTCGCTTGGCTTGCAACGTATCACCTTCGCTTACATAAGCAGAAAAAAGAGTGATCCATGACACACAATCATGGGTTGGAATCGAGTCTACAAGTTTTTCTGCCTTTTCAATATGTCCAGTTTCAATAAATACAGAGAGCAGAAGCGTAGAAGAAACTAAGTCGATCTGTGGCATATTCACGTATATGCTCTCAGCAAAGGATACATTTTCTTCTTGGCAGTACCCTTCCAGAATTGTGTTCCAAGATACAAAATCTTGATACCGCATTGTGTCAAAGAAATTTCTGGCCTTTTGCATTTGCCCGGATTTGGTAAATGCTCGTAAAACGATGTTGCTTGATATCAAGTCAAACACAGGCATTTTGTTGTAGAGGGCTTCCTTTTCCGGTACTTCTTCAGAATTGTACGCTGAAAGTATCAACGTCCAAGAAACTAAGTCGTGAACCGGCATCCTCTCAAACAGAAATTTGGCATTTACCAGATGCCCGTCACGGGCATATACAGAAAGCATGGAGTTCCAGCTCACAAGGTTTCGTTCGGTCATTTCGTTGAACACTAGCTCTGCCTTTTGTACCTCGCCATGTTTTGCATACAGTGTGAGAAGTATATTGTGGCAGACAACGTCCCACATTGGCATACGAGCAAATATTCTCTTAGATTCTCTGATATGCCCATGCCGGGCATATGCCTCGAGCAGCACTGTCCACGAGACAATGCCGGGTTGTGGAATCTCCTCAAAGAGAAGCCTCGCATTTCTAAGATCGTCATTTTTGCAGTAAGCTAGGAGGATGGCGTGCCAGGAAAAGGAATCTTTCGATCCCAGGGAATCAAAGACGGCTCGTGCGTGGCTAGGCGAGCCGCAGTGGCCGTACGCTTGAATCAGCTTGTTGGCAGCGAAGAGATTGTGTGGAAGAAGCGATTTGATCCGCTCGTGAATCTCTCTCGCATCAACCAGAGTTTTGCAGCGCTCGATCTCGGCGAACAAATCCCGGTGAGAACTTGGAGCCATTACTTTTCTGTGATTGAGTGGGTCATGACATGATCCACGCTGTTCTTCCAAGCTCTAGGGACGAAATCGCGGCAGCCATCCGGCACTGTGGAGACAGCAATGATGTGTTCGCCGGCAGGAAAATCCACGCCCAGATCCACCTCTCCCGACAGCACCGGGAGGATCTCTTCCTCGCCAATCTCCTCGTCCAGATGTACGGCAGGTGGGGCGACACCCGTACGGCACTCGAGACCTTTCGCGCCATCCCCGACAAGAACCTCTTCTCGTATACCATCATGATGACTGCCTACCTGGACAGCACCGACATCGCGGGCTGTAAGCGAATATTCGATGGCATGCCCCTGCACGATCTAGTGTCCTGGAACGCCATGGTTACTGCATATGCCCAAAACGGGTATATTCTAGAGTCTCGGCAAATGCTTTTTTTTATGCCGGAATGGGACGTCTCTTCGTGGAATTCTCTGCTATCGGGGACGGCACAAAACGGGAATATACGTGAGGTACAAGAGGTTTACGGTATGATGCCGTACCGTGACGTTGTGACGGAGAGTACGCTCTTGGCAGCATATGCCCATAAAGGGTATTTGGAGTTGGCGGAGGAACTTTTTGAGAGTATGACGGTCCGGAACATGGTGTCGTATACGTCCATGGTTGCTGCGTACGGGAAAAGTGGGATGATTCAGAGAGCGAAATCTATGTTTGATGTGATGCCAGAGAGGAATCTCGTTTCGTGGACTGTGATGATTTGTGTGTTTGCGGAGAATGGGCTCCCAGAGCAAGCAAAGCGCACATATGATCTAATGCCGTGCCAAGATTGTGTTGCTTTGGTTGCGGTGCTGGATTCTTATGCGCAGATCGGAGACACAGTTCGTGCCAAAGAGCTGTTTGATTCAATGCCCAAGAAGAGCTTGATCGCGTCAAATGCATTGATGAAAGCACACGCTCTAGCTGGGGACCTGGATGGAGCGAAAAGTTGTCTGGAGCAGATGCCCGAATGGAGTGAATCTTCCTTTAACTTTTTCATTGAGTTGTATGGAAGGCATGGGTTTGTTCTTGAGGCTAAATCCATGTTTGATATCATGCCCTTAAAGAGCGTCATATCATGGACAAACATGACAGTTGCATTTGCCTCGAATGGACGTGTAGAAACCGCTTTTAAGCTCTTTGATGGGATGTTTGAGAAAAACAAAGTGATATGGAACACAATCCTCCATGGATTTGCGCTTAATAACCACAGGACAGAGAGTCTTGAGTTGTTTGTTAAAATGGTGATTGAGGGATTTGATCCAGATGAAATATCTTTCAACAGTGTTCTTAGTGCTTGCAATCACACTGGGAATACTAAATTGGGTTTGGATTACTTGATCTCAATGGAAGTGGACTTTGGATTGAAAGTAATGTTAGAGCATTTTCATTGTGTCATGGACCTATTAGGGAGGGTAGGCAGGCTTGATGAAATTGAACAATTGTTCAATTGTATGCCATCTGCACCAAATAGTATCACATGGACTATTTTCTTAGCATCTTATCATTAGTCTTACCTCAGAAAATTAAAATAAAGATGTTATTACTTTTGAGTCTATTTTAAATTTAATAAAATACAAGGGTAAATTGTAGTATGATTAAGTTTTCTGATCTTTTCTTGTTACTTATTTAGATATTAAGTGTATTTAATAATTAAAAATAAATAAATATCCTAGAAGCTGTAAGTATATGGAATATGGAAATGTGCATATTCAATTAGCCCAAAACCTCTAACTTATATACAAAAATGAGTGGTTTGGATTGAAGAAAATCCAATAGCTATCAAAATTCTATGCTAATATTTAGTTGACAAGCCAAGATTTGGAAGAACATCAAGAAGTGGCATCAATGGATCTGTAAATGGTGTCAATTATTCTTTGGTCCAACTTGTCATAATATTTGATATGGTCTCTTCCACTAAGTAAGGAGGCCTTTAAATAAACCACATGTCATAAAATTGGGAAAATAAACTAACATTATATCATCCACTTTATACTTTGTAGATGGGTGATAATGAGAGTTATAAAGCCATTATTATTCCACTTATATGTGGCCTAAATCTTCAGTAAACTCCACTCAAAACAGTGAAAGAATGATTATTAAATACTGATCCTAGGATCTAGTATTGGCAATTTATAGCAAGTGTGAAGGTATCATTAGTAATATTGGATTATGACATATAGAAATTTATCTAGTGAACTATCAACAAAACTTTGTACCCCTTCAATACACACATACTAAAAGATAACAAATAACTATCCCAATTTGAATAGTAAAAGCTCACATACTGTGTAATCATCACTTTAAAGGTCCAAATAAACCATTCTACTAAACCATCTAAAGGGGGGAAGAGTGTTGTCATGGGTATTAAAAGTTATTTGTTGGCTAATTTTTTTCAAATATTCTTTTTTTATTGCTATGACGGCAAGAAGTCAGTATTATGAGATCTTTTATCAATCCTTATTGTTCAAGAGGTGATAATTTACCGTGTTTGCCAAACATTTTTGCTATCATGCCCATTGTGTTAGTTCCGATCAACTTGAGGCATGGCCAATCAACCTGATGCATAGTCTAGCTCCCATTTGCATGTTTGTTTTTGTTTTGCGTCTGACTTGGGTCTAAACTCAAGTTCCACGCCATACTAGTTAGTGAAATATCTATATCCTAGTGTTAGGTTACTGATATGCTGAAATAGCGACAAACTAATAATGGAGATGGCATTATTATGTTGAATGATAAGGAACTTTTTTTAAAGCTTGATTTTTTATATCACTTTTCTTGTTAGTGTTTTGGTTTCATACAGGATTTTAAAGGTGATAGAAGAAGAATGTTAGTACAATGTGGATATTTGAAGATATAATTTTTGTGATTAAGTCTAAGGTATTCATTTAGATTTTGTGGATGTTGGAAATATGGGCATGATGTCCGATGCTTAGCCTTCTCGGACTCTTTTTTGGACTCTATCTCAGACTCTAGGATCATCTTCCACAAAAAGTGAAGTTGAAACATGTATAATTACAAGTGAGAGAAATAATGTCTCATAGCATTATGTTAGTCATAGAGTGTCGTCAAAGGGGGTTAGGGTGAGTGCATGCACAAGTTTTACAAGATCATGATAAAGTGATAGTTACAACATTCCTGACTTGATCTACATTAAAATATTTAGCTCTATACAAAGTAAGAGGCTTCAGAAACAAACACCAAATTGCATAATTAACTCAGAAAGTTAATGATGCAATTGCTAAAAGGCATCATCACAATCATTAACATGTCCAAATGCATGTTTGAAAATGTTTGGGAGAAAACTCCAATCTACATGAGTGGCTATGCTCAAACCATTGTACCACTTTAACACTATCTCATGGATATAAGTGGGAAACTCATGCAAATATCAGACATCATCCCAAGAATAATAGGTGGTAATAACTATGAAGTGATTGAATCAATAATATATATCATCTCCAAGATTCTCACAAAAGAAATTCAACTAAAAGTAAAGATTGGCAACAAGAGTAAAAATTGCACTATATGTCCTGAATATCAAAAAGTGGCCTAATACCTATAAAGATTTTAGTTTGGAAATGAGTGGGCTTTTAAGAAGGCCCAAAGATGTTTGGACCAAGACAAATTGGTATATTGCACTCTCGATAACTCCATATCCCTTATACTACACCATCAGATAATTAAAAGATTCAAGCAACTAAAAGACTAAAAATATATGTGGGGATTATATTAATATAAATACTAGCAAGAAAATATATAGAGAAAGTCAATAACTACTTAATAATCTTAGAAAATAACATAAAAAGTCACAAATAAATTTGTATAAATCCCTTCAAAGCTCAATGGATCACCTTGTGAAATTAGATAGGCTATTTCCTTTTAAATTTTATTTTAAAATAACATAAATTGTTGTATCAAATTTATCATTTGTGACTAAAGTATTAGTATGCATTTTATTCACTCTACTTCATTCCATTATATTATAAATTTAATTGTGTATAATAATTTGATTTTCCATATTAAGATAAACTATAAGAATAAAAGTAATATTTGATTATGAAATAAATTTATTAATTCGTCTAGATTTACTTTTAATGTTGACTCAGTAAAAATTATATTTTAATGAGTTCTCATATACGTCCATTAAATTTTAGAAAAAAAAGGAAAAGTTAGTTAAAGGAGTAACACTATCAAATAAATATAAAATTAAAGTTTAATCTTTTTTGTTCTAAGAGTACTGTCTACATAAATTTTGATAAATCCTAAGACATGTTTAAGATTATTAAATTAGATGCCAGTTATTTAACACTTAACTAATAAAATGATAAAATCTCTTTTCTATATAGCAATAAAATATTTTTCACGTTTTGGTAACTTGATAGTTGATTAAACCATTATAATGTAGTTAAATTTTTTTTTTTTTATAAAGGTCAAAGAATTGTTAAATTATAAAATGTAATATTTTAAAAGAATTTTGCAGCCTAGTATTATAAGGAAAATCAAACACTTAGTACATCTCTCTTTCTCTCTATTTGGAGTTAAATAACTAAATATCTATTTCATGAATCTCATTAAATAGAGGGATGCCCAATTTGCATTTATATATTTCAATTTAAGGTGCAATTTCTCTTATAATGGTCTCAGATTTTACTAGAACAAAAACCTTTTAAGTCAATGATTTCATCTTTTCTATGACACAAATTTAATATTAGCATTCAAATCCCCAATTTTACTCTTCTATATTATGCATTGCAACCATTCCAATCTGGAGAATCTAACACAGCCACAGCCTAGGGACATCTTGGATCTTGGCACTCAACTCATTAGATTGGATTAGGGAAGAATTCTTTAGTGTAGATGAATGGATCCAAAACTTCTTTAATATCAAATATAAACTCACGAATTCGGACTTCTTAGGAGATTATTGTGAGACACAAATCCTTAAACCCCAAAAGGGTGCCACGTGGTAGTGGTTGAAGTAGAAGCCAAACAAGCGTAACAAGTTTGGAGTAAAAGCTCTAACTTGAAAAATTGAGAGTAGGAGTGGAACTCCCAATGAAGGGCTCGAAAAATAAGAATGAAGCGAGTAATAAGTGAGTCTTTAGAAAAGGGACACAAGAGGACTAACACATGAAAGTGCCAAGATGGAGTCCAAGATGGACCCAAGATGGACCCAAGATAGAATTCGAGATGGACCTGAGATGGAGTTTGAGATGGAGTTTGAGATGGACCCAAGATGGACCGAAGATGGAGTCTGAAATGGACATAAGATGGAGTCCAAAATAGACTCAAGATGGACCTAAGATGGAGTCTAAGATGGACCCAATTTAGAGTTTAGGGTTAACCCTAAACCCTAAACTGAGATGGACCCAAGATGGAGACTAAGATGGAGATTAAGACAAAGACCGGAACTAAGACCAAGACTAAGACCAAAACTGAGACTAAGACTAAGACCAAGATTGAGACCACAACCGAGACCAAGTTTAAGTCTGAGTTCAAGTTTGAGTCTGAGACTGAGTTTGAATACTAATATAGGCTATGGGGTGAAAGCCCAAAGCAATCCCCCCCGGGGGGGGGGGGGGGGGGGGGTTGTTGCAAGGGATTCCAAAAATATAGTAGGGAGAGTGTGGGGGTTGGACTCCAATGGAACCAATTTGGCCAAGAAAGGCTAGTGTGGTCTAGGAAGGTTATACCCATGTGTTGGGTGATGATATAACCACTGGGAAGTCCAAGGCTATAGTGAATACAGACAGATAAGCAAGGTAGCTTACAAAAGGTGGCTCTAGTTCCTTCAGGAAATCAAATGGTTGATACTCTTAGTCCAAGTGTGGATGGCACTACCTACTTAGATAGTTGGTATAGCTTATTAGAATCTCACTCTAGCCACATGGCTAAGGCACCCAAAGGTGGAAGGTAGAAAGAGTACCCATGAGGCTTACATAAGGTTGTAATGTTTTGAAATGTTATCCTAAAGTCTTAGACTATGGAAAGGAAAAAGAACAATCCTCTTGTGTAATGACTAAGGATTTAGTCATGCAACAAGGAAGTCCCAGAGGTTAATGGGACATAGTGGTTGGGCCTTTGAGCCTTAACTTAGTGGCAGTGTTGGCAAACACGACCGTGGACAGAAAGGGACTTGGTGGGGACCAAAAAAAAGATATTGGGGAAGGCTATTCCCTATGTCTATAAGCATCTTAAGGATGCTAAAGAATGGATCTGGGATGATCACTCATGGATGGATAGTTTAGTCTTTGAGAGACGGGATTATGATGCAAGTGGTGTTATATTACCATTGTGAGAAAGGTGAATGGGCATAGCTTTAGCATAATAGATTAATATGTCAGTGGTACCTTTGAGTGTTGGTCATGGGATCGGACATGTGGAGCACTTGGACCAAATGCAAAAGGTTGAATGGTATAGATGCTATTCTTTGGGCTAATAAATCCTAAAGTTCGGAATAGGATTTATGGAGGTGGTGAGTGAGACTCCTCTAAGTGGTCAAAAGTGTGGTTAAGTAACTAAAATTGAATGAAAAATTTAGTTATTTTTAATCACTTAGCCCAATACTATTTAAACTTAAAAATGTTTAACC